CAGTGTTTTCATGAAAGATGGTGTTCTTAAACCATCTTACCAAATAAGGCAGTGTTTTCATGAAATATGGTGTTCTTAAACCAGCTTACCAAATAATGCAGTGTTTTCATGAAATATGGTTTTCTTAAACCATCTTACTAAACAAGGCAGTGTTTTCATGAAAGATGGTGTTCTTAAACCACCTTACTAAATAAGGCAGTGTTTTCATGAAAGATGGTGTTCTTAAACCACCTTACTAAATAAGGCAGTGTTTTCATGAAAGATGGTGTTCTTAAACCACCTTACTAAATAAGGCAGTGTTTTCATGAAAGATGGTGTTCTTAAACCACCTTACTAAATAAGGCAGTGTTTTCATGAAAGATGGTGTTATTAAACCAACGTTTACGACGCTTGCTTCCCGCGCTGCGTTTGAAAAGCTGCGCACGCAGGCAAAGCTCAACATTCACTTTTGAAATGATGGGAGATCAGGCATGAATAATGTTGATGCCAAATTTTATTTCGCAAGCAGGATATTCTACACTAAAACCCCCCAGTGGCACAGCGGTATGTCTGCGGACTTACAACACTAGAAACTGGGTTTCGATATCCGTGGTGGGCAGAGCACAGATAGCTCATTGTACAGCTTTGTGCTTAATTACAAACAAATCTACACTAAATTGTTAGGAATTAATCACACTATCATTTACATTTCAAAATATGACTTGACTTAAAGAATAAAAATGTAGATTTACCGCATGTTATTGTTGAGCAGCTCTTAGCATGACTGAAATGCTCAATAATTACTTTTCGCGATAGGCGGTATAAGTAGCCGAGAGCTTGGGCTCTGAGTGAAACCAAGAGTGCAACACAATTAACCTTTTTAAAGTTCATGAAATGATTTAAATTGACAGATTAACTTAAACATTTCCCGTCACTGGGGACGGGTACTTTTGCTTGTACATTATAATCCAAGTATATAAAATCATGTAACATACTCTTCGCGATAATTCGATCTCTGATACTGGAAGTTTCCAACTGCTAATCACTCGATCCCTGGGTAAGTCCGCTCTTTTTCCAGTGGCTCAAAAGTAGGCTTAAAAACTTATAACGCTAAAATTCTGGTTCGATCCATGCAATGTCCTCAGCACAGATTGTATAACTTAAATTTGCGTTTAACAACAAACAATCACTGAGTCTGTGACGTGATTATTAATAATCAATGCTTCGGATTTTATTTTAAAAATGTAAACGAAACTAAAAAGCTAACGATTTATCAGAAATTAAGGAATAACTAAACTTATGACGCGAGAAATGTCCTCAAAGGATCATCTATGACGTTTGGAAAATGGCGCCATCTCGTGTACGCTGTAATAATTATTTTGAATATTAAAACAAAATAAGCCATTGAAAGTCATTAAAAATGTTCAAAATAAAGTAATTTAACCCTGATCTTAAAGCTCCAAAACAAAACTATACACTTTTCCAGTCTATTAAGAAAGCCAAGAGTGAATAATAATATTGCAGCGATTTACTTAGAAAAAATAAAACAATAGAAATTTAAAGATCTATTTGTCACACATGTAACATTTGTGTATTCCACTTTTTCCTAAACCTCATATAAAAACACAATTAAAACTAATAAACTATCGCAGTTTACCACGCATTTTTATGTTTCTATGAGTTTGTGTTAAAGCACAAAGCTACACAATGGGCTATCTATACTGCACCCACAGCAGGGATCTAGTCCCGAATTTTATTGTTATAAATTCCAAAGCTTATTGCCGAGCCATTGAGGGACTTTAAAGTATAGCAACACTCATTTAATTTTGTTACTACACGAAGCAATACTATTTGAATGCTCTTTAAAGGTAGACTCTCTGAAAGAGTTCTGGCTTTTTTGGTTGTTGTTGTAGCTTCCTCTATCATCCTACATAATTTCTTAGTTCTCTACTTAAAATTTTAATTTGTTAATTAAGTTTTAACAAATCTACTTTTGCAGGGACAAGTCATACAAATATTTTCTTGATTGTATATCTTTTCAGAAATGTTCACTTTATTTTTCACGTTTATTTAGATTTTTTTAGTCTACGAAGAATGAAACTTAACTGATTTCAATCTTATTCTATTAGACTGGCCTCAAACAAAAGTCTACAAATGACTACAGGTGTGATATAATAGTGTGCTTTTTAGATTATGATTATGTGTTCAAATACTTAATAAAAATCGTCTCTCGATGGGACAGTGGTAAGTTTACGAACTTACAACACTAAAATCGAGAGTTCGATTCGCTGCTGAAGGCACAGTAGATAGCCCAATTTGGCTTTGCTCTAAAAACCAAACAAATATATTTGTTAGAAACCATGTAACTTTTTTATATATATTAACATCGCAATGCATTATTTTAACCTGCAGTTGCTAAAAATCAAGTATCTGCACCGTTATAATTAGTTTTCTTTTTTTTAATCTGCAAGTAAACGTATATGAATAGAACATCCTTGGTGATAATATAAATATATATCAGGGATGAAAGTAGGTTAGAGAGAAAAAAAAAGAAAGAGGTGGGACAGAGCTGCACAGGCCATTCAACATGTTTTTTGGAAAATGGAGGTCTCTGGACACATTAACACTACACTGCAGTACGTTTGTGAAATTCACTGGTGCACATGTGACATCAGTATAAATTTCAATAAGCCTATTTCTTTTGGCCTATTGACTTGTCCTGGCTCAGTGCATGTCTTTCACTACCCCTGGCAACAACTAATGAAGCTTCCTATTGGACAAAAGGCTGCTCTTGGTGCATGTTCATCCAATCATGGCACATGTTCTAAATTATCATGGGATGGATTAGTTACAGCCAGATGAAGTACACGTAGGTGATGAAAACAAATACCAATTGAATGGAGTCTGAAGATTTTCATGAACCAGATTCAAATGATGTTTTTTTTCACTGTGAAAAAAATGGACAAGTCCCATCTCTGGTACATGAATATGTTAAAAACAAATTAAATGGAATTAAAATAGTTTATCTGTTCTGAACATTAGTAAACTTCGTCATTTCAATACATGAACTTTTCTTAATCATTTGGTTTTTCAACGAGTTTTAACATCCATTTTGTTTAATTGTTTCAGAATTTTATTCAAAGATATAAAAGAGCTATCTGTGTACAGCCATTACTAATTTTCAACTGATAGACCAGCAATAAAATAGTTGGTCAACAACATCGCTACCACCTCTTCTTGTCAGATAGAATAGTGGGGTTTGACTGTCACTCTTATACTGACCATGTTCCCAAAAAGTGGAGCCTATTTTACCAGCAATGGGTCAGTCCTTGGATTCATAGTCTGGATAAAAGTTAATCACAAACCCATTTTGTATCACCCTTGTGTCATTCTTTTGTTTTACTTCCCTAAAATTCAGCATGCACAGACAAGAAGTGGAGCACTTGGCTTAATTTTTTATACTTTACTACATCATAAACTTAACTATAATAAGGGAGAATTAACCAATAATTTATTGATACCAAATTAACAAACTGGTGATAGTATGCATTTGGAAACAAAAAAATTGTTTTTTTATATCAAATTTCTAGGTAAAATAATCCCAAGCTTTCATGAAATAATATTGTATGTTTTATGTATAATAATGTATAAGTAATATACAAGAAAATTAAACAAACCTTATCCGTTGGTTCTATATCAATCTCAATCTGAAAACCAAACAAACAAACATACATTATAGCTTAATGTTATCATTAATAGACATAAACTAAGCTGGTTTTTTTATATATACATTTTCACTGTCAATATCTAATAACATTTTTTTTCTCTCTTAAGAACTTAACTTCACGACATTGTGCACCACGGGTGGTACATATGCACGTTTTCTGTTGGATGTCGTGAGCCACTTGTGGTACACAGCACCCATAAGATGTAACTACCTCCTATCTCCAAAGTCCTATATGAAGCATTTATTTTATACGGATGGCTATAGTAAAGCCATGCCTTCCATCATGTACCACTGGTAGAGCACAGATGCCATGTTGAAATAAAACACATTTACATGATTAAATCATTTTTTATTTTAAAATTACATCTAGAGATTGGCATTAATTTTTTTCATTGTGAGTAACTGAAGCAAAAAAAACTTCTTTCATAAAAAAGAAAACTGTTATGAAGACTGTAATATAATAAGGATAGAACTATTATCAACCACAGTAGAGATTATTTTATCTGATATCCATTTTTTACGGCCATAAAACTGTGAAATATTCATAATTCTTACTAAAAAAAAAAAAAAAGAAGCAAATTTAAGGTTGAAAAAAAAAAAGAAAGGGAAAAATATTAAATATTATGATCATTTGATTATTATTACTTAAATCATAGTGTGTACCACTGGTGGCACATGACAGCCAAAGTTTAAATGGGTAAAGACAGGACGTCACGTACCACCGGTGGTACACTCAAGAGAAAGTTCCCAATGCAGTCATTCTGTCATAAAACATAACATAAAGCCATAAAATTAGCTGTATCTAAGGCAGATTTCACAATGAGGCCTTACATTCCTATTGCATAATTAGACAAATCACCTATGCTGCGAACGTGTTAATTAACCGACTAGACACCAAATCTGCTACAGTGAATGTTTATCTAGCTGTGTGGCCAGTTTTCCTAAATTTATCGCCCAACAGTAAACTCGAATCTTCTTCTAAGAGTGGATGAGATTTTTTAATTCAGCTCTTTAGGGAAATATTACAACCACTACTGTTGATGAGGAATATTCTTACACTAGATTTTAATTTTTGTTTAAATTCTTCTTCTCTAGTAATAAAATTCTATTCATGCTTAGGATGTCTCTTACCCAGTCACTAATCAAATTATGTAATTCTTTTTTATCAAGATGCAACTTTTCACACACATATACATTCTACTTTTATGATGTGATTTCTTAAGAATATGATGTGGTCTTATAAACATGTGATTTTTTATCATTCTTATGATGAAGGTTGCAATGTGTTAAGATGTAATTCTTATTTTTCTTATGATACAACTGCACCTTATCTTAAGGTGTGTGACTTCTAATGTACTTGATGTGGTTCTTATCCTTGTTATGTTTGTTTGAATTTCATGCAAAGCTACACGAGGGCTATCTGCGCTAGCCGTGATAGACTAGAGGGAAGGCAGCTAATCTATTACCAAAGAACAGTGGGACTGACCGTCACATTATAATTCCCCCACCGCTGAAAGGTCGAGCATGTTTGGTGTGATGGAGATTCGAATCCGCGACCCGTAGATTGCGAGTCGAGCAGCCTAACTACCTGGCCATGCCTGAGCCTTCCTTGTTATGACAAGACTCCTCGTATTTCATAATTCATTTCACCAGGAAGTTGAATAAGCAAACTCAAATACAAACAAAGGAGTCAAATATGTGGCTGATTAGCACTTACAATTGAAAAATTTTTCAGTAAATTTCTCCATGTTTCTTTAAAACTATGCTGCGGTCACCGTCATTTTGCCAAATTACTACTGACTGACCCTGAACAAAGGCCACAGGTTCTTTTATAAGTGCTCTGCTCAAATAAGTGTTTTGTGATATTGTGTCAGTGAAGCATAAAAAAAAATGCAAGTTTTTGTCTCTTTTTACTGTGTTTAAAATTCAAGTTTGTCTTTTGTTTAGATTCTAGTTACATAAAACATATTGAACATTACAGAATTGAAAGATTCACATCAAAATTGGACAGAATATGCAAACATAAGTGCTTTTTTTTTGTAAGGTAGTTTATAACGTTATTATATAATTTTGTTACTTGAATAAAACACTGAACCGCACTTACATTTGAATAAGGAGTAAAATAACCTTCAGGTATAGTGTCGTTAATTAATTAATTATTTTATCTATTACCGTATTGCTTAAAATACTATGTCGGTATGAAAGTAAGAATTCTAGCAAAGTCATCAAATATGTCTGCAGGAAAGTTTTAAACATTCGTACATACGCAGAAAGTAAATCACCTTGTCCACCCCCGATCTTTATGTTATGATTCTTTTCTTACAATGTTACTTCATGCATGTCTTTTTTGTCACATAACTTCTGTTACATTACACGACTTTCTTACGAGACTTTTCTTACTTTAGATATAACTCTTATGATCTTCTGTTCCTTCTAAAGGAGAAACAAACTAGTTTTGAAGAAGGTAATCTTACAGATAATAAATCAAATTATTATACTGGTGTTAATTTTTTTTCTTGCTTGAATACTGTAAAAACTAAATAGCTAGTTTCATAATTATCTGTAAAAATGTACTGACATTGATCACCATTGAACTTTCTTCACAATAACAGAGCACAAGGTATTCAAAATTACTATGTATGATTGAAATTTCAGCTCACCTCTTTTCCTGTGAGTGTCTGGACCAATTCCACATGAAGTCCGAGCAATGAGTGAAAAAAGAAGAGTTTTTATTATAATATGGTCATTAAATATATATGCATAACACAAATAAATACTATGATGATGATTTTAAAATCACAACAGTGGCATGTCTTTAGTTCCTGAATCAAATTTCCTTTACTTATGAAGGTCGTATTTGATGTTTTAACAAACAAACAATTTAACAGCCTCAAAAATTCACATTTTTTACACTTAGTTGCTTGTGCATCAGTAATCGTATTTTAAATACAAGTATTCTTCAAAGGAAACACCATTCTTTTTTAATTATTACACACATTATATCAATGACACAATTTAAACTTACGGTCATTAATCTGTAGAGTTTATATTGAGCAGTTAAGGTAGTTTGTCAGTAGAGTTTATACTGAGCAGTTAAGGTAGTTTATCAGTAGAGTTTATATTGAGTAGTTAAGGTAGTTTATCAGTAGAGTTTATATTGAGCAGTTAAGGTAGTTGGTCAGTAGAGTTTATATTGAACAGTTAAGGTAGTTCGTCAGTAGTTTATATTGAGCAGTTAAGGTAGTTGGTCAGTAGAGTTTATATTGAACAGTTAAGGTAGTTCGTCAGTAGTTTATATTGAGCAGTTAAGGTAGTTTGTCAGTAGAATTTAACTGAGCAGTTATGGTAGTTTGTCAGTAGAGTTTATATTGAGCAGTTAAGGTAGTTTGTCAGTAGAATTTAACTGAACAGTTATGGTAGTTTGTCAGTAGAGTTTATATTGAGCAGTTATGGTAGTTTGTCAGTAGAGTTTATACTGAGCAGTTAAGGTAGTTTGTCAGTAGAGTTTATACTGAGCAGTTAAGGTAGTTTGTCAGTAGAGTTTATAAAAAAAAGAAGAAGAAGAAGAGAGAGAGGCCAGGGTAGGTGGGCTCATTACATGAGGATGAACAGCAGCCTTTTGAGATTGAAAACAAAAGAACCGTAGTCATCTATATGGGCTACAATCAGCACTTCAAGGGTAAACATTTTTTAACTGGAAATAGTTATAGACCATTGAGGTCAATGAGAAATTATAAGATGAGATCAGGGTTATTATTCATAGGAATACTGAAGCAATAATGATTGGAGACTTTAATTTTAGACACTTTGAGTGAGATTGTATGAAGTCAAAACTGAGGGGGTGGCCATTTTAGGTTTTTGTTAACCAATAAATAGGATATGATTGCAAGAGTTGAATATGTAGGGAATAGTGATCATTGCATGTTTAGGTTTGATGTTTTGTTACATATTGAGATAATAATAAAAATTTGGTTCTTAATTTTCAAAAAGCCATTTTTGAGACCATAAGACTAATTTATGATTAATGTTTTATAACAGATATAAAAGGTGAATATGTGATGGATTTGGAAATTTTGAAATAGACATGTCCCAAAAAAAAAGAGGAAATAGATAACAGGGAAGATCAAATGCAACTGGTGTACTAAAGACATGATGGAGAATATCAGAGATAAATTCTACAAATTTAGTTGGAAGATTGACAAAACCAAAAGAAACCTTGGGATTTGGTTTAAATAGGGCTTATGATAATTAGCTATGTGGTAATGTTAAAACAGCAAGAATTTTTTTAAAATTAAAAGTAAGCAAAGTTTTAAAAATGAAGATTAGATCTGTAAAAGATGCTAATGGCAAGGGTTTTATTGATGACTACAAGATGGCCGAGCTTTTAAATATTTACTTTTGTTTTTACAAAAGTCATCGGCAATATTCCTGACGTTGAGCATTTTATAGGAAATACTGACGTAAACCACATAGATATTAAACCCTTGGTGGTAAGAAAAAAGATCAAGAGAATAAAAAAAGGTAAAGAAATTGGACTAAACAAGATTTCCTCATGGTTTTTTTTCTCTCTCTCCTATTTTTGGTAGGTTCGTAGAAAGTGGACAAGTACCTAAGGATTGGAGAGTTCTATTTTTAAAGAGGGGGGGGGGGTATAAGAACAGCCCTGGAGAAATTTAGTTCAGTAAGTCTTACTTCTGTAATGGGAAAAATTCAAGATAAAAAAAGCTTTACGAAATAATTTAGTGAAACATAATAATGCTAAAGAACTGGTTAGTTGGATTGTAATGTGGTTGAATGGAATAAGACAAATGGTTGTTGTTAATAAAGTTCATTCAAACTGTACCCTATATATTAATGATACTGATAGGGCATGATTAGTAACCTTTGCTAATGATATTAAGTTCTTTGGTATTTCAAGCCATTTTGACTACAGAATAATTTTGGGGGCATCTGGGAAGTTACCTTTATATGTGCAAGGTAACACATTTGTGTTATTACATGTTTAATATAGGTGGGAAAAAGATATTGGCATGATGGAGGATAAGTCACTCAAGCCATCGAAACAGTGATCTGATGCTAGTGGTCAAGGTAATAGCATTTTAGGGTGTATTTATAGATAATGATTATAAATCAGTACAGGTTATTAATTTTCTATAAAATCACAAGTTAGGCCTCACTTGGGATGCACTGTGGGCAGTTTTGGTTTTCTTATCTTAGAAAGAATATTGATTTATTGTAAGGGCTCAGATGAAGGCTGCTTTGATGATTCTGACGATAGAAGGTTTATCTTGTATTGATAGGTTAAGATCTTTTATTTTCTTTTGAGAGAAAAAAAAGGGGGAGTAAAAGGAGTTCTTACTGAAGTTTACAACATTATCAAGAGGCTTAATGGGTTTAAGGCTTCTGATTTATTTCTGCTGTAATTTGAAGACAACATGATGAGAGGACAAAAGTTTAAGATATGGAAAAACCAAGACAGGCTAGGCTATATTTAATTTAAGAAAGTTTTACTTTTTTCACGAGGAGATAAGCTTATACACTATGGTGATGATGGCAGTGGTGGAGAGTAGCACTTTTCAGGTGTTCAAGAGGGGATTTATGATTTCCTGGGGGGGGGGGGAACTTTTCTCGAGGGTGGATGTGTAAGGACAGCCTGGAAGGACCAAATGATTCCATGCTGTCCAGCAGTAGCAAATATAACTTTAAGCCTATTATACATTTCATAATGAGCATATGGTGTTGTGTTTCAATTAAACACCCTGTACAAGATTTCATTATTTCATTGGCTATGTACTCTTTAGGCTAGACAAGTGCTTATCAAACAGTGAGTCAGGACCTCCAAGGGGGATGCGAGCAGGTTTCCATTGTGGTCACAAGCTGTCTGCACTTGGTCAACATTTTTTTTTTTTTTTTGGTTATCGAGATGTACATATCACCTTTGTTATGAACTATAACACAGTGTACTAAAAAACATCATGAATGTTTTAAATCCATGTGGAGATAATGGAGGGTCACAATGACCAAAGCCCAGGTGCAGAGGGTCATCTAGCAAATCTGGCTGAAAAATACTGAGCTAGACATCTCAACTATGAAGATGTAACACTAACAGTACCTAAGTTTGATTTAATGTTTACTTGGTATTCTAATGACACTACAAGTTCACAGTAATGGACAACTATCTCTACACTTCACAATTCTACACATAGCACTTTTGTTAATTCTATAAAACTTAATATAATTATATAAAATATATAATAATTAAGTTGGTATCACATTATAACTATATATATAAAATAAACTGTTATGATATTGATAAACCGTTTGCTTTAGTCAGTGTCCTACTGTTCATCATTCTAGAACTTGAAATACCTGGAGTACTTTTACAAACTTATTATTTCTTACCCATTACAACAATTTAGAATGTACACATTTTGACATAATAAAAATATTTTGTACATTATGGCATTTGAATTTAATCGTATGTGAAAAATTTATAATCATATACATAGCCAAATAAACAAGTGTCACAACTACGTATTTTTTTTTTTTAAATTCAAAACAAAAAGCATGGTCATTTCAATTTAAGGGCCAGGAAAGGCGTCATTGACTCATTACACATGTAGAAGCATCAGACGCAAATCTTGGCCTTATTAAAATTTCTCAGAAGTTAAGACTTAAAGCCATTGATGATATCGATAGTACATTACCGTGATAACGTATTACACAGGGCCTATATAATCTATAAATATAATGCAGCCTGTGACGTGTGAAACGGTTTAAGTTAATGAAACTGATAAAGTTAATATTATTATTAATTCTTCTTTGAAACTGCCGTCCTACCTTTACTTTAATCAACATTTTTATCCAGGCGAGAAGCTACAACAAGAATGTACAAAATGTAGTCTAAAAAGTCTCCCTTGTTCACGGGACTACCAGATCTTATATGTAGATTACGTTCAACTACGTTAATTTCTTTGAGCCTAGACGTGCCGCCAAATTCTTATCGTATCCCTCACTGCAGTCGTTATGCGCATGTCTTTCGTTTGCTTGTTATAAAATAAATTATATCGATTCTGTTCACCTTTATACTAAATTTAAGCTAGTGGCCAATATTAATATTAGTCACTTCACAACAGGACATAACTTTAAAACACTATAATAGCAGTGTAAAGTGTTAAAAAAGTTTAAGGTTTTAGAATTATTTAACCTCAAACTATAAACCCATTCAGAGGTATGCAAAAATGGGGGGGGGGGAAGTAAACAAGCCACCAATAATAGATTTATAAACATATATGTGCCTGTTCAATGTGCTCTACCCCCACCATAATAGCAGGAAAATTTAAATTCCTGAGTACACTCCTGTTTGTTTTTGAATTTCGCGCAAAGCTACACGAGAGCTATCTGCGCTAGCCGTCCCTAATTTAGCACTGTAAGACTAGTCATCACCACCCACCGCCAACTCTTGGGCTACTCTTTTTACCAACGAATAGTGGGATTGATCGTCACATTATAACGCCCCCACGGCTGAAAGGGCGAGCATGTTTGGTGGGACGGGGATGCGAATCGAGCGTCCCAACCACCTGGCCGAGTACACCACTGAAAACTCCGAGATAGTTTGACTAAATAATAATCTAAATCAGTTTTAGAACTAGGAATACTGAATTTGTCCGAATATCATGTGCACCCAATTTTGAAAGGTTAAATTGAAGACAATTTTTTGTAACACATCAGTTGTACAAAATGCATTGAATAATTTCTAAATACAGTAAACAATCATCCTCGTACTAAACATCTTAGAAATCTTTTATTGAGTTTTTTTTACGTGTCAATTTTACAAAATTTGTTGAAAAGTTCGTACGTGGTAATACACTAAGCTAATCATTCATCTTCACATAAATCTTCGTCATCGCTAGAAATGTCACTATCGTCTAATTTGCTTCCTTGAACCTTTGCTTCATCCTCTTCTGATTCACGCAGCATGTCATCATCCGTCCCATTGGATATGCAATGTTTTTCGAAACCTTTAATGATTGTCGGTGGTACCTTATAATAAAATACCTAACAAAATTGAAAGTGTGTGAATATAATGCGCAGTTAGTATTTCAGGAGGTATTTGGAGGGAAAAGTGCGCATTATAATCGGGCAGATACGATAAACGATCTTAAACTACCAATTTTTTTTTATATTTAAAGTTAATTGGAAACTCAACGCTTTGTTTTGCAGCTTCTTCAGGAGCGTTCCACTAAAACACAAAGTGTAAGCTCTAAAGCAAAGCGTTGAATGTCCAAGGAAAAAAACCAACAAATTTGGTGTTTTAAGGTCGTTCATTTCTAGTATTAAAATGTCTTATATACACAATATGCCCTACAGAAATTAAATAATTTAAGTCCGTTGTTCAAGTCAGAACTTGGAGGAGCGGTTTGATTGAGAACTTTATCAGGTATTAAAACATCAAAATGTCTTAAAACAGTGGTTTTGAAACCTGGGATCCTGGCTGGCTCACGAATTTGGCGACAAAATTCTATGTAGCAAACAAAGCTGAATAATCGGTAAATATATATTTTCGATTAGATGGGGTTACGCAAATTTGGGATATCTGAAGTAGAGTTGATACTGAAAATAGTTTGTGAACCGCTGTTACATAATCATTATTGATATTATAATTTAGCAAGTAAGTTTAACAAGGTAACAGCAGCCAGTAGTTTAGTCATTCCATTAAAATTTAAGTAAACTTATCAATTTAATTCACCTATTTAATAATAATATATTAAATATTTGAATTAATTTTGCACAATAAGTTTAAACTGTAACGTTAATGTGAAACGTATGGCTTGTACAGAAACCACGAACTTCAAAAATAGTTTACAAAGTAAGACACTTCATTAATCATAATATTGAAAGCTATATTTCTAACGTTTTAATTTGGTTGTTTGCTATAAGAATCTGTTGACATGAAGATGACACTAGATTCAAAAAGTTTATAAAAGTAGCCCTAGAATATTCGTGAATTTTAATGATCGAGTGACTGGACGAAATACGTAGAAATAAAAATGCATTATAAGTAGGAAAATAAGTAAAGCATTGGGTTAGTTTTCAGTGATTGAGAAGTTAGTGAAGTATTCAAATCACTGCTCCTTATCGCGATCGATTAGCAGTGAAATTGTATAAGTAAGTTTTTTTGTACGTTAGTCATAGTACCATTAGTGAGAAATTCCTGTTGAAAGTGAAAACGTTATTTGTGAACTTAAGCCTACAACTGTGTACAAGTGACAGTAGCCTGAAGTAAATGTTATGGAAGAAATAAACATAATTAATTCTAATCATGCTTCGCCAGCTAGTAAAAGGCGTTCACATCATTACAACTGTTGTTGTAATAAATGGCTTATATAAATAGTGTTCTGACCACTACTGTGTTCGTTGTATTCTAGCCGGCATGAATTAAGAGTTCTGAATTAACCGAAACGCGTGGTCGGCAATAGATAAAATAAATATAGTGTGGTTGAAATACTATTATTACATACTCCTCTAATTCTTGAAAGTCCCTGAGGGACTAAATTAGGAATGCAGTGATTAAAAATGTAATAGGCCTAACATAATGTCATATGACAAATATAATTAAATAATTCAAAAATAACTCATCCAAAGAAAAAACGTTGCAATATTAATATCAGCCAATGTGGTATAACGTGTATAATATTACTGTTATTAACATTAATTAATATTATGTTATTAATATTAACCTTTTTTTTTTCTTTGTTTTGGTGATAATATAAACGCATGTGAATAGAACACCCTTGGTGATAATATAAACGTATATGAATAGAACACCCTTGGTGATAATATAAACGTATATGAATAGAACACCCTTGGTGATAATATAAACGTATATGAATAGAACACCCTTGGTGATAATATAAACAGTATATGAATAGAACACCCTTGGTGATAATATAAACGTATATGAATAGAACATCCCTTGGTGATAATATAAACGTATATGAATAGAACATCCTTGGTGATAATATATGTGAATAGAACACCATTTAGTTTTAGTTTACTCTGCTTCACTTTTTAATATCTAAAATTACTCTCCCTTGATCTTTTTAAAATTACATATCTAGCCGCATTAATTTCCTATTTATCATGTTAAGCCTTTACTTCCACGAGCGGGGTGAAGGAGGATTGTTTAATCTTCAAGCACCCTAGATTAATAATTATTTCTCTGGAAATAATTATTTTTAAATCTAAATAACTGCCAGGAAAAACGAAACACCCTTGGCAATAATATAAACGCATGTGAATAGAACATCCTTGGTGATAATATAAACGCATGTGAATAGAACACCCTTGGTGATAATATAAACGCATGTGAATAGAACACCCTTGCACAATTTCCTATCCTTTGTTACAAACTAGGTTTTATTTCACCCCAGCAAGTGATGAATAAAATTGAAAGCGAGATACAGATAACATTAATAGCTAAACACAAACATGTATAGTAACTAGTTAATAAATAGCCTTACTCTTAACCCTTTTTTATAGTTTCACATACAACTTGAATGTATTCAAATATTATACGTGTGTGTGTGTATGCAGATAAAGCATAAACCTAAGATAAGATAAAACAATCAACCCATTTTTTACTGTAGAATATGTATTATAAATACACGCACATCCTGATCCTGCAGGAAAGTACAGAAATTGGCATCAGCTTTATTTTTTGGAATCAGAACAGAGAATGTGAGAGATACAGCAATATATATTCATATAAGTGAAAATGTAAATATTAAGATCCTAGATTTAAACAAAACCTCACAAAAAATCTTCTATAAATGCTGTTTTTTTAACATATAATCTATTTATGTTATACAGTCTGGCCTCAAAGGAAGCAGACCAAATATGAAATCTCTATTTGAATTTCATGTTTCTTGAGAATAAAATTTAATAATAGTAACGAAATAATTATCAAAATTAGGTAATTAATATGTATAGTGTATTGTAATAATTACTCGGTATTTAACAATTGTTATCCTGCCAGACTGTTTGCATCCCACTGTGGCAAAAAATATCTGTCTCCACATTTATAGTGTATTGTCATAATTACTCGGTATTTAACAATTGTTATCCTGCCAGACTGTTTACATCCCACTGTGGTAAAAAATATCTGTCTCCACATTTTGGGGCTGTGGTGCACCACAAAAATGATGGTGAAATCTCACTATATGGTTTGACAAGTGTTGCCCAAGGGTTAGTGATGTTGAGTAGCTGCCTTCCCTATAGACTATCAATTAAAAATTAGGGATGGGTAGTGCAAATAGCCTTCATGTACCTTTATGCAAAACAGAGAACTTTTCTGAATAAAAATTAACATCATAGATGGTACAATCTGAAATGTCACGCTCTAATTCCAAGAATTAGACAACAGTCACTCTTTATTGTACAGCTTTCTTAGAGATCGCAACAATAAAATCATCTTAATCATTTTAATTACAAATTTTAGATTTATTGAGAAGGAACTATGAGGTGGGTATTTATTACCAATTGAACTTCAATCTATTGTAGTAGTTTGGAAAGAATGATTAGAATTATTTACACACACATCAGCAAGAAAAATGTGTCAAGAGTTCAATGGACGAAGCTTGCTACTTTAAAAAATAATAAATCTATGTTTTGCTTTATTCCGTAAGTGAAAATATTCATAAACACTTCATTAACCACAAAAAAATTTACACTACTTTTACTGATATATTTGTCATGTAGACAGAAAAAAAAAAATTCATAAACTCAAGCACTACTTTATTTTTTATTTAGACACAAATATTAAATATACAGCCAAACAACAAAACATTTAACATTAAATCAAAAAAAGTTATTCCTGCATTTTACTGCATTTAGAAACGTAGAGAGTCAAGAGTTTAGAGACGTCTGAAAAGTTCTGGTTCTGTAAAGCATCCTCCGCGAAGAGCTAAAACTAGATGTAATACAGATCCTCCTGTTACTTTGTAGTCAGCTGCCGTTTTG